TATTTCATTTAAATCATGCATAGTGAGGCTGGACGGGTCGCTAGTAGTTTGTCGAGTGCAGAACGCTAATATTCTTTTAAATCATGCATAATATAAACATAAATCAATAAAATTGATTACACACACTACCAGTATTAGACACTCACACGCGTATATACTCTTTTGTTTATTTTAAAAGTCTGTGGTCAAATTGATAATAGATTAATAACGTTTGTCTTTAATATTATTTATCTTTAGTCTTACTGAATGTAATGAATGAATTTATAATTTTATAAATTCTACACAGTTCTTATACAACTTCATTTTGATCACGCAAGATTTAATAATTTGTGCCGAATGAAAATAATTGATTCAGATGCATAGTAGTCAGACCCGTTTGTGTGTGTTTGTTGACAAATTTTGAAATATGTATACCCACTTATTTATACGGATCTTTGAAAATCCAGAAATGAAAAAAGAGATGGACGTGGGAATGAAAAATTAGGCTGGAATTTTCACTGGGCGATCACTAGTAAATATAAAAAATAATTAGATTATTAAGTTACTTATTTACAAGTCTCTAATAATGCATCAAGTGTAACGTAAGTTTGACGCAATAAATTTTGTGTGAGGTAAAATTTATGTTGCCTATAATAGAAGTTTGGGGCCAATAAGTCTGACGCTGAAGTTTATGTAGCCGTAACTTACGTCAATTAGGCTTATTTCGTCGGCACAACACGAGGAGTTTCTTTTTTTTATCCGATCAAGCGTGTAAATCTATACTGACTAGTAATTGAAAGTGTGGTGACTTTTATACGCCCTTTTTGGCATCAGAAAAGTAAAAAGTAACTCTTATGTTACGATTATACTGTTCGTACATCACGTTCGCCTAAACTGAAGCTTTCTGTTTGAAAATTGAAAGTTTTACATGAAGTAAGGCCAATAATATTTGGACATATACATGTTTTTGCTCTCTTTATAAGAGGATATAATTAGGATCTCGAAAATTTGTGTATAATTTATAAAAAACCTGCATTAGTTTTTTTTATTGGATATTAAATCCATCCCAATATTATATATATCAATATGTGTATATCTGTCTCTTTGTTAAGAAAATAATCTATGCAAAAAAACCAATATTTTTGTTTTAAGAGCATAATTCAGTTATTTGTATTTCATACTTAAATAATAACATCATTTTGTGAAAAATATCTTTGTAAAATGAACTCTATATTTATCATTAACACTAAATTGCGATGTGATGGCCCAGAATAGCCTTATGTTGTCAGAGCTTGTGAATAGTGAAAATTGAAATTGATGACATATTAAGTACCGCCAGTAAGTAAATTGTTGTACGTTTATCTTCTATATAAAATTCTCGTGTCACAGTTTTCGTTCCCATACTCCTCCGAAACGGCTTGACCGATTCTCATGAAATTTTGTGAGCGTATTGAGTAGGTCTGAGAATCGGCCAACATCTATTTTTCATCCCCCTAAATGTTAGAGGTAGTCCACCCCTAATTTTTTTTTTATTTTAAGGCAAAACAACGTTTGCCGGGACAGCTAGTATATGTATATAAAGTATTGGGACAAAAACGTACGTAGGTGTAAAGTAATTTGCATACACGACTGCTGGGTTAAATTGGTTATTGATAGCTCTGACATTTTTATACGCCTGTGGAATAGCAAATAAGCCGACGGTCTATCGGAAAGAGAGTGGTAACAGTGAGATATAAATGAACAGCACCGTGGAATAAAATATATTCAAAGGCATTGCTACTATTGTGAATTAAAATGTTTTTATAATAATACTTGTAAATCTTAATCATCAATTTTGATTACTAAACGATTTAAAGTAATAGATGTTTTTAATTTCAACGGTATTACTACTAAATATAGTTTAAAATTGAAGATTATTTTTGCCATCCTAATTGATAGGGTTTACTTCTATCTTGGACTTATTACTGGATCTATTTAAGTGTTATTGATGGCATACAACCTGAAATTATTCAGAAATATATTTCATTTGATTATTTAAACGGTTTATTTATTTTGATATGGTACTTTTTGTTTCATTAAATTATTACTGATGTGAAACTTATTTATTTGCGTAACATAATTTTAAAAATATTTATACCGGGCTATTCTTTTTATGAGTACTATACCTATTTTCGTATAAGGATATACGAAAAGCAAGCACATGAAACTAAAGCACTTTCACCCAGACACAAAGTGGAAATCTGAAAATATTTATTTCTAAATTAATATTTTTTTAATATGAAGGTTAAAAAGAATATTTTTATTTACCAATTACAATTTCTAGCTCCTTCCACATCCTCTCGAACATTGTTCAGTTTCGTGAAACTATTACTTGCTTTCAACTTAATATATACCCTTCATGATCAAATATATATATGTGTGTTATTTTGACCAAAATGAATTCGGCTTCAGAAATGGATAGCACGTAAAGGCAAAATGAATATTAATGGTTGCCACAAAACTGAATATGTATGAGATAAACGCTGCATTTCCTGATTCCATAATATGACATTTCAGGTAAGTCGGTATACAAATGGACACTAGTGTCCATAGCCTACCCGTTTACCTGTTAATTAATAGAATAATATTTTAGAAATGGTTATTAGCCCTCTGTTTTTTTTTAAAGAATACATGATTGCGTATCTTTTTTGTTGTGATAGATTTAGTATTTTGTATTTTTATGTATTTTAAAATAAAAGAGATGCGTTTTATTAACAACTAACTTTCCTGGGTAACTTCGCCTGAATCACACTTACTTGATATTTATCGCTTAATTTACGTAATATCTTTTTAAAGTATAGTGTGTTATTCTGATATACAAACTATATTACTGCAAAGTTTCATCTAAATCCGGTCAGTTTAAAATATTAGTAAAATTACTAAGATAGCAAGCTCATGTTTTTTATATTTATTTTTTATATCAGATATAATCAATTTGTATACTGTGTACAAAAGAGTAAATATATTTTAACAAGAGTAACAGTTTCTTATCCAACGACTGTATGAACTCACTATACTCAAATATCATCTAACTGTAATATACATCGTGATAAAATACATGTTGCATTTATAAAATACTAGCTACTCCCCTAGCTTCGCACGGTTGTACATGCATTATATACATAAACTTTCTCCTTGAATCACTCTATGTATTAAAAAAAACCGCTTCAAATTCCGTTACGTAGTTTTAAAGATTTAAGGATTCATAGGGACGGATATATAGCGACCGTGACTTTGTTTTATACTATGTAATGATGTTGTACATTTTTTTGAGAGGGATATTTCAATATTAATTTCTGGACTGATTTAGGGTTTGTTATCGATGTTTTCCGTCAATGGAGAGTTTAAGAACACAATTTTTGGTGGTCATATTCGATCTCACAATTCTGGAGGTCCAATCTACTATATCTATTAGTTAGTATTATAAACATCAGCTGACTGATCCAATTCCCAGTTTGCCAAGTATATCAGTGAATCACGATATTAATATTTATTCACGTACCATAATTCCAAATCGGATCGTTACAAGATTATTTATATGATTAGGAATCTATTTGCGGAACGTGTTCGCAATCGGCGACAATTGTTATGAGTACGTTTTACATGCTTGGTTTGGTTAACGACAGAATTTCTACCGACTACAAAAAAATTAGGTTCTTATGTGTTACGCAATAATGTATGAATTATAATTCGTTATACTCGTGACCGGTGCTGCTTTGATTGATTTGATTTTTTTTACTATTATAGTTAATATTTTTGTTCTAACGAGTTTGTGCTATTTGGTAGTATATATATAGGTTAGGGGAGAACTGGTAATAATTTGCCTACTGTTAAAATATGTTTGTACATCAGTCGCAAAGTTATATAAAAGAAAACGATTTGTTCGAAAACAAACAAACAAAACGATTTATTCAGCCTTGAAGTCAAAGAGAAATAGATAGCACTTTTGTTGGCTCATAAAATATGCTGACAAACAACTAGGTGTTCTGAAAGATTAATATCTTGTAAACTTTTATAGGCATAACTCCGACAGAAATAAACTACGCTTAGAAAACTAACCTGGCATTACTCACAAACCTCTTAGATTGCCTACTATAGAAATAACGATTCCTTAAGCAAAGTTCCTTATCTCATTTCTTATATGAATATTTTTTTATAAATTTAATTCTTCTATTATAGTGAAGGAAGTAACCTCCATATTTTATGTAGGTTCAAATAAAATAAAAATATCTATATTTTACAGACACTATGATATGTCAAATCTAGTATCAGTTCGGTGGGTTTGTTTGATGTTTGGTTGAATGTCAACGTATAGCAACGTATGAGATGTATTATAGGCCTGTACATGTTCGTGGATTCGTTTATGTATATAGGGGATATTTGCTACTTACCATCACGCGGACTAACAGATTCTTTGGCATACCAGTTACATTAAAAAATCAGGCTGTAAACGAGTCATTTATCTAGCGAAAAGAGGTTATGTCACCCACCAAAAAGTATAACTCTTCCTGCCATTTTGTGTGTTGACAATAATCCGTGTTATTCTGTGATGAGGTGGCGAGATACGAAAGATAATCTTGAAAAATGATCTGTTCTATCTATTTACAAAACATATTACACTCTAACACTTTTGACATAAGGTTTGAAATGTATATTGTAAATAAACGGATATTAGTTTAGCAGTTTGTACTGTCACGTCGAATCAATCCATCAGTAAACATGATTGATTACATTTTTTCAGGGATGGCTGCGTGTGTGAGAGATTCGTTTCGACCCTTTAAATAGTATTTGTAGACGAAGGCAAAGGTGTTTCTTTGCTGTCAGGTGAAAAATATTATAGTCAATCACTAGAGTAATTGATTGCAAGACAAATATATTTTTATTTCTTTTCTCATAGTGCTTGCCAATAACTTGTTAATATAAAACAATAAACAATGCAACATATAATATTTTAAATTTGACACGGTCATTATTTATACGTATAATTAATAAAAATCATGGTATCTTACCACATTTTAGTTTTATTACTATAAGTATCAGAGTATTAAGTAACATCGTTTTATTACTTCTTTTTATACCACAGTAATGACAAGTAATGCCCACATAGTGGTGAACGGTTACCGTAGACTATGGGCGCCTGAAAAACCAGAGGAGTCACATGCAGTTAACATAAAAGAAATACAAAATATGACACACACAGATATACAGAATGCTTAAGTACAGAGTAATATATATTTATAAAATAAATCATAAATATCAATTTCCAATTTTAAAACAATTTAAATTTAATGAATATCAAACATCATCTTTAACATTTCTTAGTACAGTCACTGAGCCCCGCTCCAGGCGTAAACTTCATCGCATCCATTTCTGGTGGTGGTTTCTTATCCAATGCTGATATCAATCTTTTTAGCTTAGCAATCATCATAGCAGGATGCAATCCTTTAGGACATGCCAATGTGCAATTCATTATGGTGTGACATCGAAAAGCTTTGAAATCATCTCGTAAATCATATAATCTTTGCTGTGTGTCTTCATCCCTGGAATCTATGATCCATCTGTAAGCATGTAGCAGTGTCGCTGGACCTAAGAACCTCCTTCCATTCCACCAGTAACTGGGGCAAGCTGTTGAGCAGCAGGAACATAGTACGCATTCATAAAGACCAACCAGTTTCAAACTGTCTTTAAGACTTTGGGCATATTGACTCTGGCCCAGAGGTCTCTCATTCTTCCTGATAAGATACGGCCGTATACTTTTGTATCCTTCGAAGAAATGTGTCATATCAACCACTAAATCTCTAATAACGTACATGTGAGGTAAGGGGTAAACTGATATTGTTTTCTCTGGAGGAATTTCTGTTACGCAAGCAAGACAGTTGTGACCCTGCAAATTCATAGCGCAAGAACCGCATATGCCTTCTCGACAAGACCTTCGGAACGTAAACGTAGGGTCCATATCCTTTATTTTTATCAAAGCATCTAATAACATAGGGCCACATGTACTAACGTCTAATTCATAGCTTTGCACTTTTGGCTCCTCTTTGCATAGTACACCAGGAAATCTATAGATTTTGAAAACTCTGCGAGGATCGACGGGTTTTTTTGCTGGTTTCGGTGCAATCTGTTTTGTTTCATCTTTCTTTATGGAATATTGTCTTAGAAATATGTCTGTTGAGTTTTTTATACGTCTGCATAACATTTTAGATGACATCGCGATATGTTAAAATGTTTTTGTAAATGTTATTGAATAAATAAGTAAGCCAATACTGTATTGAAAGTGATTCAAGATGGCATGACGTGATCGTAATATGTATCTGTCAATATGCCAGTAGAACATAAATATTTTTTTGAAAAGAGAAAAAATATATAGGTTGTGTATTAAAATTTTTATAAAGTTTCTCATGTAAGTAACTACATGTTATTTATCATTTTATAAAAATTTAATAGTTTGAACATTATATTTTACCGTTTTGTTATATTTTATAATTTAGATATATATATAGCCAAGTGTGATATACGTTTTTGTATTTTTTGCTATTTTCTTGTGTTTACATATAAGAATAACAGTAGTATTGTTTGTCTATGTCTCCATTACTCTGTGTTGTGACATTGATCAGAACATTTTAATAATATATATTAACATAATACAACAGACTACTTTTTTAGGTTTATATTTTGTAAAAGTAAAATAGCAGCTTATTTCTACAGAAAAATTAAAGTTATCAACCTGAAAATTACATCAAGCTAGAATGTTAAATCCATCCATCGATTAGTGCGCTACGTAAAATGTTAAATGTTTGTGAGCAGTATACCATGAAACATGGCTTGAAATATAACACAAATAAAAGCGAATTTATGTTTTTCGGTTTAGGTGGTAAAAATCCTACAATTCCACCAATTATGTTGTATGGTGTGCCTATTAATAGAGTAGCCAAATTTAAATATTTAGGACATATTATTACCGATGACCTGAAAGATGACGCTGATATTGAACGTGAACGCAGAGCGTTGCCTGTAAGGGTAATATGTTATCTCTCAGGTTCGCTCGCTGTTCGACTGAAGTAAAAATAACATTATTTAAAGCTTATTGTCTCAATCTTTCTACACGAGCAGCTTGTGGGTTAACTATACACAGCAGGCATACAGCGTACTGCGAGTTCAATACAATAATGTTTTCAGAATGTTGTTGCGTTTGCCACGCTTCTGTAGTGCATCCACAATGTTTGCAGGAGCATCAACAGACGATCTGTATGCCATCAGACGCACACGGATTGCTTGTCTATTGCACAGACTGCGGGGCAGCAGTAACAGCATTCTAAAAATGCTGTGCAATAAATTTGACAGCCCAATACTTTGTTTTTGGACCCAAATTGTTACGGGGGCCCTTAAATGATAATATGCAAATTTAGATATACTAACATAGACTAAGGACAATTGCTACTAACACTTTTGGATCTGTGTTATCTGAATAAATAAATTTAAATTAAATTAAATAAATTTTATCCAAAATGAGATTATAATTTCATAATCCTATAATTTATAGTTAAATAAAAAGATATCAGATAATAAGCATTTTATAAACAAGAGCCTTTTACCTCGGTAACTGGCGTCTAATCGAAATTTATAGGGCAGTACGTGTCGTTTGAAAATCTTAAAATTTTGCATGAATAAAGATTATACTTCTAACACATGTAAAGAAAAGAATCCTAAAATTGTATTTTCCTATTATTTAACGTTCATGAAACGTATTTTTATTATAACTTGGTGTGAGATAAAAATCTATGGGCTATTGTTTATTTTTAAATCTCGAAATATCGATCCTAATGTTTACCTTCAGGTATGCCTCCATAACCTCCATATCCTCAATTTATTTATTTATTAGTATACAAAACAAATTGCAATGAGTACCAGCAATTGTATAAAAGCATGTAATTGGTGTAGAACTGGATTGTAAACCAATATGATATGTAAGCGTAGAAGCTAAATTATATAAATAATTTTGCTGTCTTACAGAATATAAGTATATTTTAATTTGGATAAAATATTTAAGATACCATAAACTTTAATATAGTTTACAAAGAAAGTTCATTATTTGGCTTATAGCTGGTTATTACAGATTTGCCTTGTTTCATCTTTACTTGTTTATATTTTTTGTACAAGTTAATGTTTTATTGTTTTCTTTTTGTTTTAAAAAAAACTTTCTCATTTCTTCTAATATACTCACGCGTATGGCAATCACTTTACGAACTCCTTCGTAATAAAATTATGAATCGATAAATATTAAACTGATTGCCAAGCAAACATGAGTCGTATACCGGGGGCTTTGCTTATAAATTTCATTCGAAGAACATTGAATATTGTAGACGCAATTTCTGCAGAAGGGTGAGCAAAGTTAGTGTGAAAGCAATGATTGATGACTATGAGTTGATGTTGACGAGAGTTGTACAGTTGATAAAAACTGTGTTTATAGGCCATTCTAATTACTTCACACTGCTTATTTCAAAATAAGATATATGTATCATCATTAAATAATATAAAACAAAGTCGCTGTCGTTGTCTGTCCGTCCCTATGTGTGCTTAAATTTTTAAAACTACGCAACGGATTTTCAAACGGTTTATTAAATAGATAGAGTGATTCAAGAGGAAGGTTTATGTATATAATACATGTACACTCGTGTAACACCGGGGCGAGTAGCTAGTATTAAAATATATAGAGATGAAGTGAGCGATTTTGGATATTCGTGATAATATCCAGTACTACTGATCCGATTTTGAAAATTCTTTTAGTGTGTGGTCAATTGCTGCAATTAAAAATGTTGAAATGAGAAATGCTGTATGACGTAGTTCATAATGACTCTGTCTACCCCATTAGGTGTGTATGATATTCGTGGATTTATTATTATTGCTGTAGTTTATATGAATAATGTAGTTTAATATTTGTGTAATTATTGTTGTTTATTGAGTCTGAGACGTATGTACATATTTATTTTACAAGCTTTAATATAATATTTATGAAGCTTTATTTTATTCTACTTTTTCGTTCTGTTATTGTTTTGTTGTATACATTTTCTTATTTGCATATTGCCTGTTTGATAATTAAATCTGTTACTTTATGATTGTTTTCAGCAATTTAGATTTTTTATCAAAAAATTAGTGTTTTCTTTTCTTTTCATTGTATAATATCAACTTACACCGTCTTGAGTTCTGGTCTGGTCAATGATAAAAAAGAACATTATGTGTTTCAATTTCTATTTATGAGTGACTTATCTATGATATAAAATAAAATATTAATTCGGAAAACGGCGTTATGCTCACATTCTGCCACGTTGAATAAAAATATTCCCAAAAAATGTAGACATACCAAGTGTTGCAAATACCACGACATTAACAGTTGACAAAGCCTGGGGGAAAGGGATTGTTAATAATGGGGACTAGTAACAATACCGTGTTGGGATAACTGACTTGATCTCATACTTATCTTATCAATCTCCACTGGTACCCAGCCAGTATAACTTTAGCACAGATGGGAACACCAATCCATTATTATTCATTAAAAAAAATTGACAAAGCCTCTTATTAGCCTGTCTGGGCTCATGATGTCATATTTATTTATTAACTAGCTGTACCCGCGACTTCTTCCGCGTAGAATTTAACTTTATTTTTCTAAAATAAAAGATTTTTTGTAAAATAAAAATAGCCTAAGTTATCCTTATCCAGCTACCTGCCATTAAAAGTCCCATCAAAATAGGTCCAGCCATTTCAGAGATTAGCCGGAACAAACAGACACAGTAAACGATTGCCTTTTGATTTTATATTGACATGCATGTAGTAAAAAACGGTTTATAACAGTTTATTTTAATATTACAAGCAGACACTACGATTTTATTTATATGTATAGATGTAATGCAAATCAATCTATCAAATATATATAATTATACGCACGATTTACTGTGATAACCTCTTTCTTTTTTCCATGGGAATAAGAAGTGCAAACCCGTGTTAGGGAAAGAACTTTTTAGGAGGAAATTACATTATAATTTATGCCTTTCCTTATTGGAGGCGTAGATTACAATCTCTGCTATTAGATGTATGTTATGGGAGAGCAAATATTTTTTGTTTAATTCTTTCTATATACTCTTATATGGTACTAGCAACGCATCCCGGATTCGCACGGATGATTTACAATATCTATTGAAGAAACAGCATTAAAATTCGTTGCGTAATTTAAAAGAATTAAGCATACAGACAACCGCGGTGACTTTGTTTTATACTATGAAAAGATTTAAATACTTAGTACTTTGATCAATAAGGGACGGTAGGGTAAAAAATTATAATGTAAAAACTTGACGTTCATAAGCGGCTAAAATGTCCTACATGAACAAATGATCTTTGAATTTGAATTTGAATTTGAATAAGCATTGTGTTTAATTTTGCACTAATTTCTTATAAATATATATATCCCGAACATACAAATAAATAATTCTATCTATATATCTATATCTATCTACCTTAATATTTAAATATGATACTACGTGGAATAATCTAACCTGTATTACAATGAAAATAATATTGTACTCGGATTTTCGGATATTCTCTTGTTATTTATAGAGAAATCAAATAAATCAGACATTTTATCTCATTTGCCATAAATATTGGATCAAAAATCAGAGAATTATGATATTGCAATACGTTGTTTGAATATGTAACGATTGGGGAATACGTGAATTAAATGGAAATCAAATGTTATGATGTTTAATTATATTGGCATCGCCCAGCGGTTTAGCAAACCGCCTTACTTCATAGTCGTGGATTCGAATGTCGTACGATACAAATTCATGAATATCATTTTTTTAACTACGCAGATGTTATTTTATTATTGATGCCCTCGGTAATTCCGATGGTTGCGGGTTCGATTCCATGCACGGTACAATCATTTGTATTCATGTGTATGATTGATTATATTGGCTTGGGTGTTTTCTTTCAATCCATTTATATATGTATTTATAAAATAAAAATGTAAGTTTATGTGTCAGGTTAAGGACATCAGCTGTCAATATTTCCATCTAAATATAACTCGCTTATGTTTTTATTATGTAGAATGGCAAATAAAATAAGATCTGATATATTTTTAGTTGAAGTAAAAAATTTGAATGTTTTTCCACGGTCGTGTGCTCAACCGACGTATAATCCGCGATAGAATCCTAGACTACTGAACTGATAATGATAAAGTTTTATACTCGGGAATAGG